CCCCCAAACCCCCCCCCCCCCCCTTCCTTCCTTCCTTCCTTCCTTCCTTCATAATAAAATAGAAGGAAAACCTAAAATAAGTGGCTAAGTTGGAGGGCTCGCCATCCCATATAAATAGAAGCACACGCCGAGCTCAGGAGCAGCTGTCAGAGTCACAAAACAGTTAAGCTGGATACATTCAGCTAGCGGCTGTGGCTGAGCACATTTCAAAATCTGCAGAGAGCATATTCAGACACCTCCCTGACATTATATTGGGTGGGGTCAGAATATTTGTAGATCCGGGGCATGGGTCACATCTGACAAGCCAGGGATAAGACAAGACAAAAAAAAAATACAAGTCACGAGAGAGAGGTTACCAGGACGTGTATTTAGGATCCTCCTAATCCTGCACTGTGCAAATGAATGCAGACCAGGCACACTAGGGGGATTATTCTTAGCAGATGGACACAGATGAATCTATATGGGACCGAGCTCAAACAGCACGTAGCATAGAAACAAACAAAACACATTGGGGAAAGGTGCCTACAGGAAGGCCAGACCTGTCAATCAAATCCAGAATTGTAACATGGTTACCCAACGGTCAGAGTATTATTTAGATCAACCACTTTTCACTCACGGCACGCTTTAAAAAGTATGCAAAATCCTGAGGCACCCAGGCTAAAATGTAAAGTGGGAACCCACACAAAAAGTGGGGATGATCCTTTTGCACCAAAGTCTTCGCGTCAAATCAGGAGCCCCCATTCACAACAATCAAAATTCTCCCCTTCCCATCAGAGTCCTCCTTTACAGTAGCCCCCCTTCCCATCAGAGTCCCCCTTCACAGTAGTCCCCCTTCCCTTTTATATCAGAGCCCTCTTTCATATTGGAATTCCCTCTTTTGCATCCGAGTCCCTCTTCACATCCTACCAACAGAAAATGTTGAGGGACCCCCATCTAAAAAATGTAAAGTGGGACCTCATGCAAAAACAAATAATTGGGGATTCTTACTTTGCATCAAAGTTCTTCCTTCAAATCAGGAGCCCCCATTCATATCAGATCCCCTATTTCACATACTTTACATCAGAATTCTCCCACTACACATCAGAATTCTACCCACAGAAAATGTTGAGGCACCCCGGTCTAAATGTAAAGGGAAACCCCACACAAAAAGTGTGCATCTCCCTTTGCACCAAAGTTCTCCCTTTACTTCAGAACTATCAGATGCAGCTTACCACCAAAGTTGGGGATTGAAGCCGATTCCAAACAGTTTACAGCCCATATGCAATGGTACCGTATACTCCATCTGTGAAGCATGGCGGGTCATGTACAACAGTCATAGAATGGCCAACCTCATCCTTCTGATAGAACTGGATTAAAATGTACCCTCTAAGCACTCGTGAGTAACCTGCCATCAGATACAATATCGGCCAAGCACAAAACTGTCATTTTTAGCACCCAAAAGTCACCTAAAAAATCCTAGATTTCTGTGCATATAGGAAAGACATACCTGGATGCACTACATCCACCATTAGGAAAGACATACCTGGATGCACTACATCCGCCATTAGGAAAGACATATCTGGATACACTACATCCACCATTAGGAAAGACATATCTGGATGCACTACATCCGCCATTAGGAAAGACATACCTGGATGCACTACATCCACCATTAGGAAAGACATATCTGGATACACTACATCTGCCAGTAATGATGGATAGATAGGATAGATAGATAGATAGATAGATACTCCGTTCAATCCTGTAGCCAAACTGAAGTTTAAGTAGCCATGAACTACACCTTCAAAGTACAATAGGGAAGACTGGGAAAAGTTAGATGCCAGGCGTATAATATATATATATACACCAGGTGCATGGATCACACTTTGCATTAACACGTCTGCCATTTTGATGTAACGGACTTTAACTGTCAAACAGTTGCAGCATCTCCCCCCCATCCTCCTCTCTCTCCTTCCTATTAACTGGAACAGATCCAATACAAGGAACAATACAATTTTACTAATCTGCATTGTGCTGTGTGTGACAATGCATGGTGATCGTGAACCTATGAGAAGGAAGGAAGTGCGTTGCCAACCCGACTCCTGGGGTTTGTTCATTCCAAGGTGTAAAATCATGCAGACATAGCTCCCCCATAAACATTCACACTTATGTAAACAAAGCCACCCAGAACGGCCAGGTCCAGTGCAGGGCTCAGCTGATATTATGAATGTAACAAGGGATCAGGTACAGGAGGGGAAGGAAGGGATCAGGTACAGGAGGGGAAGGAAGGGATCAGGTACAGGAGGGGAAGGAAGGGATCAGGTACGACTTGGTGTTATAGAACTTGCAGAGAGAAGTTGCAGCAGTGGGGATCAGCACGAGGAGCGGAAGTTTAAATCCCCCCTCGCTCAGTAGCGGAGTGACAGCAGCCGGGCTCCCCGGGAGATGTTGATGAGCCAGGAGATAACGTGCTGGCTGTCAGTGCAGGGAACATGGAGGCTGTGACAGCGGCAGCCCGGGCCAGTGACACATCCCGGATGAAGAGGGCTCCGCTGTTTGTTTTGCTTCCCTGTTGTTGCTTGTCAGCCGCTCCTCCCCCCTCTGACATCCCGCACAGGCACACTGCACAGATCCCTCACCTACACAGTGGATGAGCCGGTGCCGCCACGAGTCGAGCTCCCGCCGGAATCCCTTCCTCTCCGCCGTGCACCGAGGGCTCCGGCACTGGGCAGCCATACTGTCGGTTCCCTTTTTCCATCTGCGTCTGACGTCACCGCTCGTCACTTACAACTCACTCACACACATACAGGCACAGGGAGGGGCGGGGTTTACGGCGCTGATTGACACGCTCTCTAACTGACGGGGTGCTGAAGGGTGGGCGGGGTCACGGATGATTGGCAGCTGGAGCTGTCAAGCAGCGTTGAAGGGGGGAGGGGGCGTGTCCGAATGGAGCTCATAGTTATTGTCACAGTTCGGAGAAGTGTGCCGCGATGGTCTCTGACATGGAGAGGTGGCGGCGGCTCCTCGTTCTGCATGACATTAGTTTCGGTAATGACATGAGCCAGGATGACGGTGCTGCTGCCAAGGCAGCAGGAAAGTCTCCGCTGCAGTTACTCCCACAGGGATAAAGTGAAACTAGTTTCAGAGAGGTGCACAGGAGAGGGATTTCTGGCTCACAGTCTTAGGACTTCCATAGTGTCAAACAAAATAAAGATGAACTTTATCCCTCTTCTTCCCTGAATTTTTTTAACCCTGCTTTTGTGCTGCGTTGTCCTCACATATGAACCTGCCCAACAAATCAAGCTTAGGCTCTCTGCGACCCATTGTTCAGGTGTCACAGCCCAGGCCGACATCTTGGTGCTCCTCTGGAGCTGGCTGTCTCTTCCAGGCTCAGGCAGCCAGCTCCTGATGAAGCCCACTGGTTGCTCTATGCCCCAGATCCCGGACCCGCTTGGGGTATGTGGGTGCTCAGGAGGCTACGGGAGCTGGACAGGTAATTCTCACCTAGAAGAGAATACATTAAAAAGTACACAAACTGGGGGGGGAGTTAGGGTGGCATTTATTAGAGAGGAATGTTAAAGTGAAGCTCCACTGTAATCAAGAAGTCTCGTCATAAATATTTTCCCTCATTCTGTCCACCAGAGACAAAGTGCAAGAAACACTTTGTCCTCTTTTAATACGCGCTGTGGATCCAGAGCTATTCTCCTTCTCCTCTTTCTCCTAAATCTTCTCCTTCCCCTCCTCCTTTTGCTCTTCTCTTTCTCATGCTCCTTTTCCTGCTCCCCCTCCTCCTGCTCCCCCTTCTCCTCCTCCTTCTCCTCTTCCCTTTCTTTCTGCTCCTTCTCCTGCCCCTCTTCCTTCCTCTCCTGCTGCTCCTCATTTTCCTTCTCCTGCTCCTCTTCCTCCTCCTGCTTCTCTTTCTCCATCTCCTGCTTCTTCTCCTCCTCCTTCTGGTTTGGGTGATATTTTGAGATGAGGTCGGTGATCTAGCGAGAGTCAGAGTTGTGGATGGCTTTGTATGTATTTTGAGTTTTGTATGTTGGTGCGGGAAGCCAGTGGAGGGATTGTCAGGGAGGGGTTGCAGACA